TACATTAATATTCATCTCAATGTATAAAGTGACGTGGTTGTGATTTGGTGCTTCACAAATGAACCTGATGTGAATTGAATTTATACATGAAGATGCCGTTGAATGAGTTAATAAAGCCATGCAGATAAAAATACATTTTAAATGGTAATTTAATGAAACAGCATGATTTCTTTTAAAGAGTAAGTAATAGTGCAGAGGCTGGTGAACACTTGTGTGTGTCTGGCTGTGAATGTGAAGCAGCGTTCACCATCAGGACAAAGTGTCTCGACATCCAGTTTCAGTTAATCTGCATTAAACCGCATAAAATGTGTCTCATAAAGTTCTGCTGGGTCTCTGTTAATGTCTTTGATATTTCTGATGTGTGTGTGTGTGTGTGTGTGTGTGTGTGTGTCAGGGATGAGATCTACTGTCAGATCTGTAAGCAGCTGAGTCAGAACCCGTCTAAGAGTTCTCACGCTCGCGGCTGGATCCTCATCTCTTTGTGTGTCGGCTGCTTCGCTCCATCAGACAAATTTGTGAAGGTCAGTACGTTTGTGTTGGTATTTACACATTAGCCATGACGTTACATCTGTGTTTGTTTTGATTGCAGTATCTGAGGAACTTCATCAGCTGCGGGCCTCCAGGCTACGCTCCATACTGTGAAGAACGTCTAAGACGAACTTTTGTGAATGGGACGCGAACGCAGCCTCCGTCCTGGCTGGAGCTGCAGGTATAAACCACAGACTGTATATAAAAGACAGACATGGCCATTGTGACTTCACCCACCGTTTGCTGGAACTGTTTCTTTTTGTGAAATCAACGTCCAGGCCACCAAATCGAAGAAGCCCATCATGTTGCCGGTGACGTTCATGGATGGCACGACCAAAACGCTGCTGACAGACTCGGCCACCACAGCAAAGGAGCTCTGCAACGCCCTGTCCGACAAGATCAACCTGCGAGACCGCTTTGGCTTCTCGCTGTACATCGCGTTGTTTGACAAGGTGGGCACGCACACGGCATCATATGAGCTCCAAGGCATGATACTCCTTTCTAGCACCTGTTAGGCCTCACGCTCTGGAACAGTTTGGATCATCTGGATCTTTCTCAGAGAGCTTGTAGCCACTGCAGGGATGTGAACCTCTCTGTTTGTTGGAGAAAACACAGTCACCAGTTTGCACCTCTGATCTCATCCTGCAGGTCTCCTCTTTAGGCAGCGGGAGCGACCATGTGATGGACGCCGTGTCGCAGTGCGAGCAGTACGCCAAAGAGCAGGGAGCTCAGGAGAGGAACGCCCCCTGGCGACTGTTCTTCAGGAAAGAAATCTTTACGCCATGGCACGAGCCAACAGAAGACCAGGTCGCCACCAACCTGATCTACCAGCAAACCGTTAGGGGCGTCAAGTTTGGAGAATATCGCTGTGACAGGGTGACTACATGTTCTTTATTTTCAAAGAATAGTGTTTAGCAAGTGCATGGGAAACTGAAGCAGTGATTGTAGCAGGCTGGAAACATTTCTGCTCCAAGTGGAGGGAACTGCAAATATTCTGCATTTTTAATGAGGGTAAGAAGTCGGTAACGCTCACGTGTTAGGAGCACTGATTAATGTCAGGCTGGCTGAACAGGACAAACTTTTTTTTTTATTTATTCTGTCTCTGTGTCTCCAGGATGACCTCGCAGAGCTGGCCTCTCAGCAGTATTACATTGACTACGGTTCAGAGATCCTCCTGGAGCGCCTGCTGAGCCTCATCCCATCTTACATCCCGGACAGAGAGATCACCGCCTCCAGATCGGTGGAGAAGTGGGCTCACTTTATCATGGCTGCTCATAAAAAGGTGATTATCACCAGTAAGAAG